GGTGGCGGCTACAGCTCACAAGTCTCCTGGCCACCCAGCCACCACCTGGTCTAGTTTAGAAAAGTAAACCACTGGTATAGGGTCATTCCTGAGCCCCTGGTTTAGGATGCCCAAAGCTACCCTTTGTTTTTTAGCCAAGATGAAAGGATGGAGCTGTACAGCATCTGAAAGTTCATCTAAAGGGTGAAAAGTTTTTCTTTTTTTTGAGACGGAGTCTTGCTCTGTCGCTCAGGCTGGAGTGCAGTGGTGTGATCTTGGCTCACTGCAAGCTCTGCCTCCTGGGTTCACGCCATTCTCCTGCCTCAGCCTCCTGAGTAGCTGGGACTACAGGCGCCCACCACCTCGCCCAGCTAAATTTTTGTATTTTTATTAGAGACGGGGTTTCACCGTGTTAGCCAGGATGGTCTCGATCTCCTGACCTCGTGATCCGCCTGCCTCAGCCTCCCAAAGTGCTGCGATTACAAGCGTGAGTCATCGCACCCATCCTAAAGGGTGAAAAGTTTTTCTATGTTTGGGAGTCCCAAAGTAGGAGCTGTTACCAGCTTTTCTTCTTTTTTTTTTTTAGACGGAGTCTCGCTGTGTCGCCCAGGCTGGAGTGCAGTGGCGCGATCTCGGCTCACTGCAAGCTCCGCCTCCCGGGTTCACGCCATTCTCCCGCCTCAGCCTCCGAGTAGCTGGGACTACAGGCGCCCGCCACCTCGCCCGGCTAGTTTTTTGTATTTTTAGTAGAGACGGGGTTTCACCATGTTAGCCAGGATGGTCTCGATCTCCTGACCTCATGATCCACCCGCCTCGGCCTCCCAAAGTGCTGGGATTACAGGCTGGAGCCACCGCGCCCGGCCACCAGCTTTTCTTCTAATGTTAGGAATACCTGTTGCAGGTTCCATCCCAATTTAAAGGCTCATGATCACGTCCTTTCAGAGCTTCATAAAGTAGTTCTGCTATGAGCCCAAACGCAGTAGAATCCAGCCATTCCCCTAAAGGCCTGTTCTTAGTCTGAGGGGACTGGAGTGCCAGGATGGCCTCTTTTAACTCCTGAGTCAAAGTCCTGTCCCAGGAATGGGCACATACCCCAAATACTTAGCCTTCTGTACAGAGATCTGGGCCTTGCTGGGGATACCTGATGCCCTTGTTTTTCCAGAAAATTAAGGGGCTGGATTGTGTTCCTGTCAGAGACTTCCCTAGAAGGGCTGAAAATTAATAGGTCATCACATATTACAAAAGGGGCCCATTAGTTAACGGTAGTTCCTTTAACTCTTTTGCCAATGCATTGCCAAAGAGATCTAAAACCTTGAGAAAGGACAGTTCAGTTAACCTAAGAGGCAGCATGAATGTCTGGATCAGTTCATTCAAAAGCAAAAATACACTGGGAGTCCAGCTATAAAGGCACACACAAGAAAACATCCTTAATTAGGCATTAAGTCTAATACTGTGAACCAATGAGCACCTTTAGGGACTTGGCTCCATACTGTGTAAGGATGAGGAACTTTTGGGAGGATTGAATAACTGCCTAGGAGTCTGAGCTGACATGGATGTCAGCCACCCCAGCTGCCATCGAGATCTCCTTGCTGTGTAAACTGGGTGACAAGTGAAGTCAGTCTGAAGTCTGAGTTACAGTCGACCCAACTGGCCAGACGTGGGTGGGACTCCGGGAGGACAGCATGGGACTTCCCACCCCACCTGACAAAAGAAGAAAAATCTTATGTCTGGTGCTTAGATGAGCTGGTTCAGTGTTGATGGAACCTGAAGACAGACTGAAGCTACACTACAACATGCTCAGGGTGGCCCTAGAAGACAGCGTGGAGAAGAAATCCTCCTTGTGGGTACAACTCTGATCAGTTAGCTTCCCGTCTGCTGCATGTAGAGGCAGAAGAGACCTGAAATAAGAATATCTATGGAGTTGTGGGTGGGGCTGTTTGACCGGTTGATGAGAGCCTGGAAGGAGCGAGTTTGGAAGAATGGGGAGGCACAGCTACGGGGAATGAGTGTGTGGACGAACAACAGGAACAGGCAGAGTGGGAGGAGTGTCACATTGTGCATTCATGCTCGGTGTCCTCCACAGGGGAGGCACTGGATGGCCATGGTGATGACTGATATGGCTTGGCTCTATGTGGCCACTCAAATCTCTTGTGGAGCTCTGATCCTCAGTGTTGGAGGAGGGGCCTGGTGGGAGGCGACTGGATCATGGAGGCCGAGTTCCCCTTTGCTGTTCTCTTGATAGTGAATGAATTTTCATGAGGTCTTGTTTAAAAGTGTGTAGCACTTCCCCCTTTGCTCTCTTCCTCCTGGTCTGCCATATGAAGAAGGTGCTTGCTTGCCCTTTGCCCTTCTGCTATGATTGTAAGTTTCCTGAAGCTCCCCAACCATCCTGCAGAACTGTGAGTCAAGGAAACCTCTTTCTTCATAAATTACCCAGTCTTAGTAGAGATGGGGTTTTGCCATGTTGGTCAGGCCAGTCTCGAACTCCTGACCTCCGGTGATCCACCTGCCTTGGCCTCCCAAAGTGCTGGGATTGCAGACTTGAGCCACTGCGCTCGGCCAATACACTTTAAAATAACTTCTTAAAGAAGAATCACAGTAATATTAGAAAGCATTTTGAACTAAATTAATATTTGTGTGATGCATATGAAAACACTAAATGCTTGTATTAGAATATAAGAAAGGTATCTTCTAGAAGTGTTCCTTCATATGAAAAAAATAAATAAAAAGTTAATCAGGAAATAAGTTGATGACTTCTAATATCTCAGTTTTCATAAATCATCTAGGTGAATTGTTAAAAATAAATTAGGTAAATGTAAATAGGATAAACATTTATAAATTAACTTTTCATGTAATTTGAAATCTTAAAGTTATATTATGATAAATTAAATGATATTCATAAATGTATGGTTCATTTCCAAGTAAGATAAGAAATTGAAACTAATTGCTGAACATAAATACATTTGTTCTTGGTTTCCTAAATTTCATAAAAGACTACATATATCTAGATCTATTAATACACATAAAAATTACGTTATGCATTCTTTTGATACATAAGTTTTCAGCATTTTTACATCTATAATTATACTACACTATAAATTTTACTACAAATACTATTTTACCCTTACATTGCAAGTTTTGTAGGATGCTATTTTTGTTATTATTCTAATTCTAAATATTTGATAATTTCCCTTGTGATTTATTTGACCTATGTGTTATTAAATTCATGCATTTAAATTTCCAAACATATGGAAGTTTCACTTATATTTGTGTTATTATAAGTAATAATTACATTGATTTGTAGTTGAAAAAATGATCTATATGATTGACATGTTTAAATTATTTGACACATTTAAAGACTTTAGGTCTATTAAGTGATCAATGTATATATATAAAAAACAAAAAAATTTTTTTCTAGAGACAGGATCTCACTCTGTTGCCCAGGCTAGAGTGCAGTGACACAACCATGACTCACTGCAGCCTCGAACTCCTAGGCTAAAGGGATCCTCCTGCCTCAACCTCCTAACTAGCTGGGATTACAGGCATGCACCACCACATCCAGATACTTTTTAAAATTTTCAAATCTTTTGTAGAGTTAGGGTCTTGCTATGTTGTCCAGGCTGGTTTCAAACTCCTGGCCTCAAGTGATCCTCCCATCTCTTATAAGCACAAGCCACTATGCCTGGCCTAATTTTTAAAAAATTAAATATTCTGCATATGCTTGAAAAGAATGTATTCTGAGGATACAATGTTCCATATATGTACTCAATTAGATAATGTTCTGTGAAGTTCAAATCTCTATCCTTACCAATTCATTTTCTGTTTGAATAATTATCAGAAAAGGCATGTTAAAATATTACACTATAATGGTAAAATTAATTATTTCTTCTGTACTTCTGTCAACTGTTGCTTTCAATGTTTTGAAGCTTTGTTATTTAGTGTCTTGCTATCTCATAACCCCTTTTGACATCAGTACCTAGAACTGAGTTAATATATTTGCCTGGATTAGGGTTTTCAATGAAAAATCCTCAGCTCTGTCAATGATCTTTTCATCACCTAGGAGTTTATATCAGTATACAGTTTGGTATCAAAATCAAAGAAAGCATTAAATAAGTGAAATGTGTGAATAACACAAGTGGGATTTGTGCAAATTCATTTTTTTTTTTTTTAATGATGGGGAGGGTTGTGCTTGTCCTCTTGTTGGATTCACTAAATAGAGTCACTATCAAAAAAATACATTATGGCTGAGCACGGTGGCTCACGCCTGTAGTCCCAGTACTTTGGGAGGCCGAGGTGGGTGGATCACTTAAGGTCAGGAGTTCAAGACCAGCCTGACCAACATGGTGAAACCCAGTATCTACTAAAAAATACAAAAATCAGCTGGGTGTGGTGGCAGGTGCCTGTAATCCCAGCTACTTGGGAGGCTGAGGCAGGAGAATCGCTTGTACGGGGAGGCAGAGGTTGCAGTGAGCCAAGATTGCGCCACTGCACTCTAGCCTGGGCAACAGAGCAACATTGCATCTCAAAAAAAAAAAAAAAAAAAATAGAGACACCTGTTTCTAAAAATCACAAAATGGTTCTTATCTATAAAATACTGATATGTGATCGTTCAAATTGCTTGCTAGAAATTAAAATTACTAAGAGTTAAACCTAGGCCGGGTGCAGTGGCTCATGCCTGAATTCCAGCACTTTGGCTGAGGCAGGTGGATCACTAGAGGTCAGGAGTTCGAGACCAGCCTGCCCAACATGGCAAAACTCTGTCTCTACCAAAGAAAAAAATACAAAAATTAGCCAGGTGTGGTGGCATGTACCTGTAGTCCCAGCTACTCCTGAGACAGGAGAATCACTTGAATCCGGGAGGTGGAGGTTGCAGTGAGCCTAGATCATGCCACTGCACTCCAGCCTGGGTGACAGAGTAAGACTCCGTCTCAAAAAAAAGAGTTAAACTTCTAATTAATATATATAATTCTGTATATAAAGTGTACCAAAAAGATGTGTTTTATGAGAAAAATTATAAGAAAGGCACAAATCTTTCTGGTGTGGAGACTGGAGACGACGTGCAGAAATGGCACCTCGAAAGGGGAAGGAAAAGAAGGAAGAACAGGTCATCAGCCTCGGACCCCAGGTGGCTGAAGGAGAGAATGTATTTGGTGTCCGCCATATCTTTGCATTCTTCAATGACACTTCTGTCCATGTCACTGATCTTTCTGGCAAAGAAACCATCTGCCGTGTGACTGGTGGGATGAAGGTGAAGGCAGACCGAGATGAATCCTCGCCATATGCTGCTATGTTGGCTGCCCGGGATGTGGCCCAGAAGTGCAAGGAGGTGGGTGTCACTGCCCTACGCATCAAACTCCAGGCCACAGGAGGAAACAGGACCAAGGCCCGGGGACCTGGGGCCCAGTCGGCCCTCAGAGCCCTTGCCCGCTCCGGTATGAAGGTCGGGCCAATTAAGGACATCACCCCCATCCCCTCTGACAGCACTCGCAGGAAGGGGGGTCACCATGGTCACTGTCTGTGAACAAGACTCCTCAAAATATTTTGTTAATAAATTGCCTTCATGTTAAAAAAAAAAGGCACAAATATGTATTATTTATTGAGAAAAAGGAATAATTTTAAGGTTATTTCAAAATATGGATTCAGGAAGGAAACAGAAACAAGATAAAAAGGAACCAGCAAGTATGAGAGAGAGAGAGAGAAAGAGAGAGAGAGACAGAGAGAGAGAGATGAAGAGCGTCATGGGAGTGAAGATGCAGTTTTGGTAAGAAACATTTTTTTTTTTTTTGAGATGGAGTCTCACTCTATGACCCAGGTTGGAGTGCAGTGGTGCGATCTCAGCTCACTACACCCTCCGGCTCGCGGGTTCAAATGATTCTCCTGCCTCAGCCTCCCCAGTAGCTGGGATTACGGGCGCGTGCCACCATACCCAGCTAATTTTTGTATTTTTAGTAGACACAGGGTTTTGCCATGTTGGCCAGGCTGGTCTTGAACTCCTGACCTCAGGTGATCTGCTGGCCTCAGCCTCCTAAATTGCTGGGATTACAGGCATGAGCCACTGTGCCCGGTCCATAAGAAAGATTTTTAAAAGAGAATAATTTTGCATGAGAAAGAATCTGATATGGTAATTTTTTGTCCTAAAGTAGAATCTCTAGTTATTTAAGAAAGAGAGGCTGGGCACGGTGGCTCATGCCTGTAGTCTCAGCTGCTTGGGAGGCTGAGGAGGGAGGATTGCTTGAGCCTGCAACGTCCAGGCTGCAGCGAGCCATGATCCTACCACTGTACTCCAGCCTGGGTGACACAGCGAGATCTGTTAAAAAAAAAAAAAAAAAAAAGTAACAAAATAAAAGAAAAAGAAAGACAAGGCAGAAAGTTGAAGGGTATCGTCAAGGCTGAGAAGTTGTGATAAGGTTCATAAAGGATGAATTTATGAAAGGAATTTGTGTGTGATCCAGTTGGTTATAATTAAGAGAATTATTTCTAAGTTTTTCTGAAGATTGAACTTTTCATCCCCTATGTTATTTATTTTTAAATTTTGTTTGAGATGGAGTCTCACTCTGTCGCCCAGTCTGGAGTAGAGTGAAGTGGCACGATCTAGGCTCACTGCAACCTCCGCCTCCCAGGTTCAAGTGATTCTCCTGCCTCAGCCTCTCGAGTAGCTGGGACTATAGGCATGCACCACGACTCCTGACTATTTATTTATTTATTTTTAGTAGAGATGGGGTTTCACCACGTTGGCCAGGCTGGTCTATAACTCCTGACCGCAAATGATCTGCCCACTTCATCCTTTGAAAGTGCTGGGATTACAGGTGTGAGTCACCGCGCCTGGCCACATACCCTGTGTTATTTATTTGTTTACTAAATTTTTAAAGGTTGGCTGAAATGCCTGGGCTTCAGTGATCCTCCCACCTCAGCCTCCTGAGTAGCTGGGACCACAGGCACACGGCCACCACATCTGGCTTGGTCCCCTGCCTTAGAACAAAGTTTTCTTGAGCTAGTGGTCTGCTCGTAGTAAAACTGCAAGAGGTTTAGATTTTTAATTCTCTGCAGCACTTTTCTGTTTTTTTATTTTCTCCATTTAATTTCTCTTGTTGCAGGTCAGAAATGCTGTCTTCTTCATTTAGAGTGGAAATTTCATTCCTTGAGGTAGAGCTTTCCTCTTAGAGCATCTCAGACTCCTGTCTCAGAAGTTCAGCTTTTGCTGCATCTTGTAGCCTGTGATTCTCAGGACAGGAACCACTGCCTCCAGCTCCTTCTCCCCATCAGAGGGCCTGGGTTGGTGACGCTGTGCTTCAGCCTTTTTGTCAGCTTCTGTATCTCTCCCCTCTGGTTCTAACTCTGTTGTTATGACCTGATGCTGAAATGTCTGTCTTGAAGACCTGGAAAAACAATGTTTTCTTCCCGTATAATTTCACCTGTCTTCCTGGGTTTTCTTGATGTGTCTGAATTGTCCGTGTAACCAGGAAACTTCTCATGCTTTTGGTTTTCCTAACAGCCACGTATTCTCCTGCTCGAGCTACTAACTGTCTCGTTTACATTCCTCTCTAATATCGTGTGTGCTCAAAACCTTGGACACACGCACCTTCTTCCCATGTCTGGTTAAATTGAGTACATTTTCATCAGGTTTGACTTTCAGGTAAACTAAACGGGTGTCCCATAAGTGGAAGAAATCACATGGCAGGAGGTTTTTCTTTACCTTTTTGGTAACTGGCCTCAAAAAACAAAGATTTTAAAAATATTTTATCAAGATAACTTCCTGAGTTGCCTTTATTCGTTTTTTAAATTACTTAGGAAAACTGAGCTTTGAAAGGGTTTTTTTAATCCATGTATCTTTCTGTATTGCTTTTGAAGTATTTGACTATCACTCTGGTTAAATAAATGACTGTTATTTCACAGTGACCTGTGATCCTGTTTTGATCAAGTGTTTTGAACCTTTTGACATCTTTGGCAGCTGGAAGACTCAGGGTGGGTGGAAGACACAAGCGAGCGGGGAGGTGGGGAGAAGCCCTGGCTATCTGCAGAACCTGGCAGGTCTCAGCTGAGGGAGGCCTGTGGCCCAGCAGGAGGCCCAGCAGCTGGTGGGAGTGGGCAGGGGAATGCCCTGGTGGGCGAGTTGGGAGGGGACAGGGGACCTTGAGGGCCTCAGCTGCCTCAGGGCTTGCACTTCCACTGGAGTTGAGAGGGGAGCTGTGAAGCCTCCTGCTTGGCGGCAGTGTCTGATGTGCTCCCAAAGGCCCCTCTGCCACTCATAGCCTCCGGGAGGTTCATCCACAGCCCCGTGGTGCCTGTGCTACCCACAGAGGCAGGAGGACGGCTAGAGCCCAGGAGTTTGAGACCAGCCTGGGCAACATAAAGAAACCCTGTCTCTCAAAAAATCTAAAAATTAGCCAGGCATGGCGGCACGTGCCTATAGTCCCAGCTATGTGGGAGGCCAAGACACGCTGTCTCTCCAAAACAAACAAACAAAAAAAACAAAACAAAACAAAAAAAAAACAAGGAGAGGACACTAAGCTAAGTGAAATAGGCCAGTCCAGCCACAAAAGGACAAACACTGTGAGATCCCACGCAAGGGAGGCCCCAGAGTGGCCGCATTCACAGAAAGTAGAGGCTGCGGGAAGCGGGGGGATGATGGGGAGTTATTGCTTAAATGAGGACATTTTACCAACATTTAAAAATAAAGTTCTCTCTGACTGCTTTGTGGAGACTGGACTACAGGGGGCTGGAAAAAGGGAGACAGTGAGGAGGCGACTCTCCAAGCCCAGGTGAGGGGCTGGGACCAAGGGCAGAGAGGGGTGGGGTGGAGAGAATTCCCACGGCTCTAGGGATGGAGCTGACAGGGCTTCTGGAAGGATTGTTGAGGGCTCAGGGAAGGGGACATGGAAAGGTGGGGGACAGGTATCGCCTAGAAACACCCGGGAGGAGCAGGCAAAAATGGGAGGGAGGGGACCCAGACCCGACAGGAGCGGGCTCCAGACGGAAAGGGGTAGGCACTGGACGGGCCCGAGAGGTGCGGGCCGCCGAGGGGGCGCCAGGTTTGTTTTGTTTGGGTGTGAGGGAATCTCAACCCGTTTGCTAGAGAGAACCGTAGGGTGGGGGCTGTGCCTTGGGAGGAGGCGACTGGGAGGGAGCGAAGCTGCACGGGCGGCCCGAGGGCACAGCGATGTCCCCAGGAGAGGAGGGGGAGAGGGAGTGTGTCCGGCGGCGGTGGCCAGATTGGATGGTGGGAGGAAATAGGTCCTCAGGCCCTGGGTGCCCGGGACGGGGAAGAAGGTGCGTGAGGGGTGTACGTGGAAGGGGGTGCGGTGAGGCCGAAGGCAGCCAGGGGCCAACCAGACCCTGGGGGCGGGGGCAGCAAACCCGAGACTCCTGGCCACCCAACTGCACCGCCGACTGAGGTCCAGCCCACCTCGCTTCTGGGGAGGCGTTTCCCTTCCCCGCATGGACGCGGCTGTCTGTGGGCGCTAGAGGCAGGGGTGACAGGGCAGGTTTCGAGGGGGCGCAGCGTGGGACCGAAGGGGAGAAGGACGCCTGCGGCCCAGCACGTCCCCGGAGGCACGTCTCCCCCAGGGCTCAGCGGCCCGGCGACCGCGCGGGGCTCCCCCTCTACGGCTCCCGCCCCACTGGGGGACTGCGACGGCCTGCTCCTGGGCTCGGGGCTCCGGGTGGAGAAGAGCGCGGAAGTGCGCACTAGCCCGACACTCAGGAGGGCCGCTGCCTCTCCAGGCGCCTGGGACACCAACCCGCAGGCCCCACCCATCCCCTCGGGCCCCGCCTGCGTTTCAGCGCGCTGGGGATGCAGTGCACCCCCGAGGCGCGACCAGGTCCCCGAAGCCCGGCGTCGGCCCAACCCGGAGGAGGCAGCAGTGGTCATGGGCACGCTTCCCCAGCCCACCGTCCCAGCCCCGCTCAGGGTCAGGACACCGCGTCCCGCCTGAGCAGGGGCGGCTCTGACCAGGCGAGAAGCAGGTGCGTCCGCGGTCCCAGCTTGTGTCGGGAAGACCACCGGCCAGAAGCCCGGAGGTTGGGGATAGAAGTCGGCTAGGCTGGGGAGGGGGCGCCCGAGGTTGGGGGTCCTGCAAGGCGAGAGGGGCGGCCTCCGGTAGGGGTGCGGCTCCGCCCACCAAGAAGAGGGTCTGGCGGGAGGTGTGGTTAGTCCCTGAGCTCCCGGCCAAAGCGCGGACTGCTGGGACGGGGGTGGGGGCGGGGGGGGCGCCAGCACCCACGTGGGCCTGGGGCGCCTTCTGCGGAGCCCACGGCCTGTGTAGGTGTCGGCGTGGGGCCTGGCTCCGACGTCTGAGACCATCCCTCCCAGGGCGTCCGGGGCCCAGATTCGCACTTGCCGGGCGCCCCCAGGGACCACTGGCGGCACCGCGCTCTTTAAGGCCAACAGCCCTGAGTTCATGGGGCTGAAATTGGCACAGAGAGGCCGAGGACCTGTGGTTGGGGCTCCCGGCAAGCGGTTCTCCGGGCTCCGAGGACACCGAGAGGCGGAGAGGAGGACCCTGGGGAAGGGATGGGCAGCTGGGAGGGACCAAGCAGGCTGGTGCCCACCCTGACGCCCGAGGATCAACGAGAGGCTGGGTCAGGGAAAGGCCGGGCGAGGGCGGATCCCCCGAGCCGATCCTCCAGGCCAGCTCTCTCCGGGCGGTGCGACCCCACACTGGACACCACCCGCCCGGGGTCGGAGGCCAGGCTTTTGCATGCACCGCTCCCCGCCCCTAGCGAACATCTAGCAGCTCCCTCAGGATCGCCCCTGACCTGCTGAGATCCAGCCAAAGATCTCCCACTTCCTCAGCTTTGCTTCGCCGGCAGTGCGCCCTGGAGGTCTCGCCCTGGCGCCGCCTCCTCCGGGCAGCCCTCTAGGCTGCATCGGCCATGGGCCTGGACGCTGCTCCCGGGGCCAGCCCCCGGCCAGGGCTAGGCACACCCGACTCCTGGAGCGTCCTAGGTGCCTCTAAACCCGCCGCCAGCGCAGTCTCGGGTTTCCATGACGACGACGTCGGATGGGGAACCCGGGCGGGGTCGGGTCGGAGCGCATGCGCGCTGCGCGCCGGACGCGGAACGTCTGCCGGTGTCGCCCGCGCTGCTGGTCCTGGGGTCCCTGAACCGCGGTAAGGGCGGGGGTGCGGGCGTCCGAATGGGGGTTTTCAAGATATGGGGCGCGGACTAGAGGCTAGCTGGGCCCAGGGACCGGCCAACTGGAGTTGGGGAGCCGGGGGTGGGGCGGGGGCTCCCTGGCCCGGGGTGGGTGGGTCCAGGGCTCCCGGCCTGGGGCGTGGACGAGGATAGCGGGCCCGCGGGAGGGGACGGGGGCTCACCGGCCCGGGGCGGGCACCGCTGACCCCTCGCTGGCTTCAGGGCGGCCCCGCTCCCTCCGCTGGCCATGGCCCCCCCGCCCGCGTGCCGGTCCCCGATGTCACCGCCGCCGCCGCTGCTGCTGCTGCTGCTGAGTCTGGCCCTGCTGGGCGCCCGGGCCCGCGCCGAACCCGCCGGGAGCGCCGTCCCCGCGCAGAGTAGGTGCTGGGGGGCCGGGTTCCGGGGAGCGGGGCGGGGCTGGCGCCGGGGGCGTGCGGGGCCGGTTCGCGGGGAGGACCGCGCCTCGCCTTTGTTCCCGGGTGCGGGTCCTCCCCTTCGCGGGAGATGGTGCCGTGGGGAGTGGGGACGCGCGCTCTGTGGCTCTGGGTGGACGGGCCTAGGGTGCGTGGGAGCCTTGCGGGTGACCCCCCCCCCCCACGTCCCCTCCACCCTGACCCTCGTCCCCCGCAGGCCGCCCGTGCGTGGACTGCCACGCCTTCGAGTTCATGCAGCGCGCCCTGCAGGACCTGCGGAAGACAGCCTGCAGCCTGGACGCGCGGGTGAGCGCCCGCAGCACGACGGTCCTCCCGGGCTTCTCCGGGGGTGGGGAGGGCAGGGAGGATGCGGAGGAGGCCCCTGGGGGGGAGTGGAGGGTCCCTCATCCTTCACCCCTGATTTAAGACGCCACACCTATGCCCCCTTCCTCTGGCTCCAGTCATCCAAGGGGCATTCTGGGCACCCGTCTCACCTATGAGACACGCCTCTCTCCAGCATGCTCTGTTTCTAGCCCCTCCCCCAGAAGGCCCTCACTGGGCACTTTGTCCTATGACTGCCACTCCTGAGGGCTGTGACAGACCTGGACCCTGAAGAAGAACTGTCAGCCCAATCCAGGATCCCCTAGGTGGGCAGCGAGGCCCCGGGGCAGAGGAGAAACTGAGGCCAGAGGATGTGGCCAAAGTGTCAGGAATGGGGGGTCAGGCTGGGCAGCGTGGTCTGGATCCTGGGTGGATGCACAGGTTGGCTAAGGCCCCTCCGAGCCTGGGTGAACAGGGAGCCCCCAGGCCATGGGGTGCAGCGGAGGAGTATTGGTTTGTGCCGGGGCTCCTGCTTCTTCCCGGAAAGGGAAAATTCTAGGAAGGAGAAAGCAGGGAAGACCCTGCCTGGTCCCCCTGCACCCACCAGCCCTAGTGTCCTTCTTGGGAACACTCCAAAGGGCTTGGACTAAGACCTGGAGCCCTGTCCCCACTCCCAGAGGCTGGAGCTGAGCTTTTGGGAGGAGGAGCCCCCACCTATCCTTAGGCATGGGGGTGGGAGGGAGTGGGGGACAGCGGACCCCTGCGGGTGGTGTGGGAGCTGGAAGAAGGCAAGTGGGCACTCTGGCATGGCATGGGCACCAGCAGACCCCAGGCAGGCCCCACCAGTGGGAGCCACTGCAGAGGGAAGAGACAAGTGGGAGGCTCTGGGTGTGGGGCTTAGAGCCAGGGCCTGACCTTGTCTGTCTCAGGAGCCGGTGGAGATAGGGCTGCCTTGGGTGGGTGGAGGTCCAGGGGAATGCCAGTGGGCAGCTGGGCTGCACCCTCACACCTCTTGTTGCTTTGCAGACGGAGACCCTATTGCTGCAGGCAGAACGCCGTGCCCTGTGTGCCTGCTGGCCGGCAGGGCGCTGAGGACCACGCTGCTCCATGTCAATAAATGCCCAGTGGCACACCTGTGTCCTGTTTCCCTGTTCTGGCCATCAGAGCCCCTGCGTCGCCCCCGGCAGTCCTGGGTTGGGCCCGTCTCTGGGCTTGGGTTTCCCCAGCTGTTCCACCTGGGCAACCCCTCTTGGCTTCTGTCCCACACCAATGCCCATGCGGAGAGGTAGACACACACGTCTGACAGTGCCCATGCGGAGAGGTAGACACACACGTCTGACCTCAGTGACCTGTGCTTCCTTGGACCTGCTCCCCTGCCTGGCTGCCCTTGTTTTGAGGCTGGGAAAGTGTAGAAATCGGCCTGACCCCCCTGAGTCCCCAGAGCAGCTGCCCCAGGGCTAAGCTCTTCCAGGCTCCTGTACCACTGAACTGGTGGACCAGCTGCCTGAGACTGGAAGACAGAGGGTCCTGGGGAGAGAGGGCAGGGCCACCCTGCACAGCCTCAGCTTCCCTGCCAGTCCCACCTGTAGCCCTGAGCCCAGCCCCTGGTCACCGGGGAGCTCTGAGTGGGAACTTGATGAGGCTGTCCTCCCATCCGCACACATGTGCACACAGCACCCAACAAGTGACCTCCAGCTGAAGCAGGCACCTCCCTCTTTTCATTCAGTCTGTAAATGCTTTTTCAGTAAAATTAGAGCCTTTTATCAAAGTAATGCAGGAACGTGGTTAGGAACAAATCCAGGTGAACAGCAGGCCAGAAGTGACTGCCATGTGCCCTAGGTGGGACTCGGCCTTTAGGGCTTTGGTTCCCTGGCACTGGGGCCCCAGCCCCGCCCTGCCTCAGGCTGGTGGAGCTGGACATGCCTGGTATCCACAGTGAACAGAGTCATCCCTTGGAGCTGGCACCCGTGGAGAGACTGAGTCAGGTGTCCAGCTGGGAGGATGTCTGCAGCCTCTAATGCAGGCCAGGGAGAGGAGGGGCCAGACATCACTGCAGGCCCAGGGAGGGTGGGGCGTGGGGCCGGAACCAGTGCGAGCCACCAGCACTTGCTCAGAGGCTGGGAGGCTGGGCCATGTCTTTAGGGGCGTGGCCTGGGTGGTGCTCATGTCCCATTGGTCAGCCTTCCTCACGTGGCATTTCTAGCAGCAAGGGAGGCCAGGAACGTAGCGGGTATTTCTAGGCTTATATTGACAGATTTAGCCAGTCAAGTCCAGGAACAGCCAGATTCTTGTTTATACCTGCAGTGTTAGGGATTCCTCACACTAAACATAGTTTATCTAAAAATTCAAATATAGCTCAGTGTCCTGTGTTATGGGCAGCTGTGTGTCCTGGCACAGGATGAGGTCTCCATTACTATAAAAGACAGAGTCTGGAGCATACTTGTCACGGAGCCCTGGGGAGATGCCCTCTGGGATATGGTGGGGACACGAACCAGGCTTGGCTGTGGGGCACTGGGTGGAGAGGCTTCCTCCTAGGCCTTGCGAGGCTGGGGCAAGGACAAGGTTTGGTGACAGGAGCTTCTGGCTGGCGGTAGGGAAGGGATTCATGGGGCCTGTGAGGAGGTGACGGCAGACTGAGAAGGAGAGCAGCCCCATGGCAGCAGAGGGTAAGAGGCAGCTGGATTCCAGGTGTGTTTGCAAGTAGAGCCTGTGGGATTTGGGTGGGGGGTGGGAGTGGTCATGGGGGTCTGGGAGGCCACTGGGCGGGTACGCCTGGAAAAGGAGCTGGAGAGAGAAGTCTGGGATCCCCTGTGGCCTGTTTGGGGGCAGAGGAGAGAAGAGGGCCCCTAGGGGTGATGAGCAGCTGTGAGGCAGGAAGAGAACCAAGCTGCATCCCGGGCAGCCACAGGTGTGTCTCATGCTACCAAGGTCAAGCAAGGCAAGAGGACCACAGGGTCCCTGAGGAGCGGGGAAGGCCTGGGAGGAGCAGAGTGGAGGGAGCTTGGGCATAAGCGTTGGCAGGGCCAGTGGCATTCACATTCAGTCCTGGAGCCATGGCGCAGCTTTCCTGCCAGGGGCTCAGCAACTCCGGGATGAGTCAACCCTGGCATGGCCGAGCAGTGACCTGGCACTGCAGTCTCTTTCTGGGACATCTTTTCTTTCCCTGGACCTGCTGTTTCCCTGATCTTCCCTGCATTCCCCCCTTATATCTGTACCTTCTCCAGTGTCCGGGCATCCCCTTGGTCCAGGGCCTGTCCCTGTGTTCCTGTGGGCCCTGCCTTCCTCCCAGCCAGCTGGGCATCCCCACTGCCCACCTGCACTCTAGCCCAGAGCTGCCTTTCTCTGGATCCTATGCTCTCTGCTCCCTGCTGCTGTGTAGAAAAGTGTGTGGGAGGGACACTGTGTCCACTTGTCTGGAAGGCGGCTGCTGCCACAGTTCATCTGCAGGTCACCCTTCCCACCGCAGGGCCTGTGCATGCGCCCTCTGCACCGACGCACTCTTTGCCCCGTGTCCCTCCTTAAATAATTAGTTATTTTTTAGAGAGGGCCCTGCTCTGTCACGCAGGATGGGACCCAGGTCCCATCACAGCCCCCTGCAGCCTCAACCTCCTGGGCTCAAGCCATCCTCCTCACTGGGCCTCCTGAGTAGTGTGGCCCCCAGCGCGGGTACCGGCCCACAGAGTCCAGAGCCTGCAGCTGGGTTCCGAGCGCAGGCCCGCCTTTTTTTCGATGCGTTTGTCCCTGAGGGGTCCCGGGCTGTTTGTCTCTGTTTCTTTCCTGACACCCCGCCACCCCACACTGGATTGTGAAACCCAGGAGGATGAGGTCTGCCCTTCCCAGGGGCCCCTGCAGGCCGAGTGTTCACCCAGTGGACGCTGCAGGGAGGCTGCCTGGGCCAAGGCTCTGGGTGGAGCTGGTTGCAGGGGTCCCCCGCAGCCCCTCTCCCTTCCTGCCCTGGGGTCTTTGGGACGCAGGGCTGCACGGGGTGTGGTTTCGGGCCATCTTCCTATGGAAGATGCTGACACGGCGAGCCTGGGGCTTAGGGCGCTTTTCTGCCACTCCCACCTCCTGGCCTCCTGTGGAGCCCCCGTTGGGCGCCCTGTGGGTCTGGGGACCGTTCTGCTTTTCGTCCTTCTTCTCCTGGCCTCCCGGTCTGTAGTTCTGCTTCATAAGAGCAGCTGGCCCGCCGCTGCCTCCCACCCCCACCCCGCTCCCTTCCACCCGCAGCTCCATTCCACCCCGCCCGCTCCCTCCCACCGTGGCCAGGCCTGGGGTTCCGCTGGGCTGCTCGCCGGCTCCCCGCGCCCCTGTTCTTCCTCCCCACGGACTCGGGCTCGGAGTGGCCGCGGTGGGATAGGAGCGCCCCGACGGCCTTGGAGGAGACCCCGCGCGTCCGGCTTGGGCGTGGGCTCGCTGGTCGCAGCTCCGCCGTGGGTGCGGCTGCCCTGCCAATGTTCCCTGTGTTTGGTGTGCCCTCCTCAAACCTGAGTATCCAAGCGGCGGAGGCCTGGGCGCCTCTCAGCTTGGCCTCTGAAATCTGGAGTCTCGGCCGCCGTGCTCTGGCCAGGCAGGGCGCGGGGGCAGCTGGGGCGGGGGCAGCTGGGGCAGGGGTCTCCGGTGAGGAGGGCGCTTAGGGAAGCAGGAGCCAGAGGCGGGGGTGGGCGGCCAGGGAGGACCGACAGGTCTGGGTTTCCGCTCTTGCCCCACAGGCTGACCTGACCGAGCCTCAGTTCCCTTCTCTGTAAAATGGGCCCTTGGCGCCAACCTGGGGCTGATATAGGCGCTCTGCTGCTGGTCCTGGCAGAGGAAGCACCTTGTTGCCTGCGGGGTTCTCCCCTTGTTGTGGGGAGGGGGCTCTAGGCCCCCCAGCCCCCACCTAGAGCACGTGCCATGGTCTCCCAGACCTTCCAGGCTGCTGCGTAGACCCCAGTCCTGACCCTTCCAAGCTGACGGTGTTCTGGTGCCTTTCAGGTACCTGTGAACCCGGGGCTGGAGCACAGGCCTCAGCGGACCATCATGGCCACTGGGGGTCACATGGCCCCAGGCGTTGGGTGACTTGTAGGGGGCTGAAGGCTGAGGTCAGACAGGCTGGAGGGAGGAAGTCTGCAGATGCAGACTGGAGAGGCCACCAAGGCAATACTGAGCAGGAGCCCAGGCCTGGCCTCTGCCCTTGGGCCTGGCTAATGGGGTCCCGCAGTGGCAGGCTCAGGCTCAGGCTGTGGGGATGAGGTGGAAAGGGCAGGGGCCAGCAGAGGCTGTGGCCCTGTAAGGGCTGGACCACTCTCCTTGGAGGTCACTAAGGCCTTGGGGTCTGGGTGGGGATGCTGCTCAGGAGCTCCTGGACAGTGGCCGTGGCTTCTTCCCTCTCCTGGCCCCCATCAGAAGCATGACAGCCTGTTCCCCCAGTATCTGCTCTGGAGCCCAAAGTCCCCATTCAAAACCCAGCCTCACCTTCCTCCAGCCCCCTGGCTCTCCAGGCACACCAGCCCCCTACTTGTCTCCAATGCCTGGTGTTTCCTGCCCAGATCCCTTGTGTGCTGATCCCTCTGCTGGGACGCTCTTCCTGCCGTCCACGTGGCCAACCTCGGGCCGACACTGTGGAGCTGCCCCTGCGGCTGGGCAGGGACCCTGCTCAACGCTTGAGCCTTGCGTGCAGGGGCTGTTGAATGGATCAGCGAGTTCCTTCGAGATTTCCCATGACCCATGTTGCCTCCCTGGAAGGCGTGAATGTAAAGGGTTGCCCTGACCCTGTGCCCCGGGGCTGCAGTCCTCAAGCCTGGCTCCAATAAACTCTCTACTTCACATTAGTTTTGCCTCAGTTTTTTCCATTAGGTCAGCGTATCTAGCGTAATTCAGCAGGCTTGGGTGACCCTCTTCCCTGACCACCCGGGGCTCCTTCCAGGACTTGGGGTGGTATGAGCAGAACCCACCATGCTCCCATCCCTCCAGAGGTTTCCTGGGTGCACAGCAGTGAGTCCTCCCGAATTCAGAGCTTTGTTTTCTTTTTGCTGGACACCTAGATTTCATTTGAAGTGTTTTTTAAACTTGCTTTTAACAGAAAGGGGGCTTCAGTCTCTGTCTTTGGACAGGGGACTCAGATAAAGAGAGAACTCTGCCTTCTCTGCCACTGCCTCAGG